CCAGTTCAGTGTTCGCCGGAAACAGCGCTGTCTTCCATTCCCATTTCAGACTGGTGCGAGCAGAGAGGGAATCAACTTTTTACCTGGAAAAGAAATATAAAAAGATTACGAAAACTGGGTGGTGTCGGTGTGACTGGCACTGTGGGATCTCCAATGTACCTGTTTGGAGACGCTTCTAGTCGGTGAAATGGCGTTCTTGTTGTCAGTTTGTATCCAGGTGGACTGTATGGGTGTAGGCATTTCGAAATGATTGTTGCAGGGGGACTGGAGGACACTGACCTCACCTCAATCAGGATTGGAGGCTATCCTTCTACAAACAGTCAATTTGAGTGGAGGACATCAGAACCTCATCGTCATCAGCATCATTGTCAACTGTAAGAACCGCGTACTTGTAGTGGTTGTAGCTGCCACAGCTTCGTTCACCGATGGTTTAGGGGGGTGGGGTAGATAGCTGCGCATTGGAGGCGGGAGTTGATAAATTGGTGCGTAAATACAGCACTGTCAGTGGACTGCCAAGTGGGGGAAGTGTGAAGGGAGCTATCCACTGAAGCCAATAGCTTGGATGCACGAGCGCCATTGAGGGCGCAACTGGGCCTTGTCTGACAATGTCTCCAGCCATTAATGTGCCCCGTCTCGGGGTACCCATCCAGGAAGACGGCAATGTACAGCGCAGCTGAGTTTGCTGACAATGGCTTTTATACTTCTTTGACCGCCTCTGGCTCGTTTCCACCCCTCGTGGTTGTGCGAAGATAGCCCTTGAAGGAAGTCGGCCGACTGGCATACGCAGCACGTGGCCAAGCCAGTGCAACCTATGCGGTGTGATCAGTTCGTCAGTCGAGCCTGAGTTGTTTCTCCTAGATACCATTTCATGTTTCCACCGGACTCGGGCAATGCTCCGAAGACATCGATGGAAAACCAATGGAAGTCTTTTGACGTCAAAGCGCGCAATAGCCAGGTTTCTGATCCGTATCGTAGTATGGAGCGCACCGCAACATTGTAAACTCGAACCTTGACGGATAAGCTGATATCACGCCTACGCCACAGGTGACGCAGATCCACAAAAGCTGCTCTGGTTTTCTCAATCCGGATGGAAATATCATCTTTCGCGAGACCACTGATACAGCTGCCCAGGTAAACATATTTGTCTACTACCTCAATTGGTTCATCCGCAAGCATGAGGCTAGGGTTCGAGCCCACCCAGTCTTGCAGTAGCACTTTACACTTTGCAAGTGTGAAGCGCATGCAAAACATGAGGCGGAATTATTCATTATTTAATGTTTGAATTACCGCTGGGTCAGCTCCGAGAAGAGCTATGTCCTCTGTGTACTCGACATCTGAGAGCACTTCGGTCCCACAGGCATTAAAGTCTTCCATGATCGTATCAGTGACGAAGTTAAAGAGGAACAGCCCTGTCTATCACCTTTTGATCTGGTGAACTCAGGTGAGAGCTTCCTGTAGACCGGGAATTGGCGTACAGTGCCTTAAGGGGGGTCAAGAATTTATGATGGACTGCTCCGCAGACACTGCCATAGTGACTGACGGTCCACAGAGTCAAAGACAATTTTCAGTTTAAGAAACACAACCATTGTTGGTTGCTGGAATCAGTGTCGTTCCAGAATTTGCCGGAGGGTAAAGATATGATCGATTCATCCTCTTGCAGGACGGAACCCAGCTTGGTTTTCACGGAGCTGCCTCTCCCTATGTTCAGTCAACCTTTGAAGGATAAGACCAGAGAGCACCTTAGATGCCACAGCTAATAGCCTGATGCCACGGTGGTTTTTACACAGCGTCCGCGTACTCTTTTTGAAGATTGGGACAACTGTTGGCACGCCCCATTTTGCAGGCAATTCCTCTTCGTTCCAAATAGGACCAATAAGCTTTGTCAGATAGATCGCCGAGGATTCTCCGACTTTGAAGAAGGCCGGCTATATACCGTCCGGTCCTGGTGCCTTCTCACGTTTTAGTACGAATATTTCGTACTTTATTAATTCTTACGAAGGGCGATCAATGTTTACATTCCATTCGTCTGTATGCACTATCTCTACAGGCTGTGTTGCAGAAGACCAGCTGAACTGTTCTTCGAAGTGCTCGGCCCATCTTTCCAGTCGACGTTTTTGCGAGTGAATTAATGAGCCATCTTTTTCACTTATCGTTTCGCTGACCGTTGCTTTCCTAGGGCCAGTCGATCGTATCACTTGATATAGGACACGGCTGTCTCCCGAAGCGGAAGCTTTCTCCATCTCCCGATCTTTCGATGTCCACCATAGCTCTCGGTCTTTCCTTAGACTCTTCACTATTAGGCGTTTAAGGGATTTGCGCGCACTGTCGTACTCGTTGCCTCCTGGTATGGCTTTCGTTACATCAACCATGCATAACAATCTCGTCGACATCCAGTGGTTATGTGGTCGAATCAGGGAGTTTGGACAGATAGCATGGAACGCCGAAACTTCGTCTCCATTTGCTGGCTCATGATAGACAAAGGCACGGAACACCTTCCTAGACCGTGTCATTATGTTGAAATGTTGATGCTTTTCGGAACTAATCAAGAAGCCGACTGCCTTGTGTCTTGGCTCTCACCGTCACTGGTACTTTAGAGTGACTAATTCCTGAGCGCCACCAGCTCAACCCAGTTAGTTTTCCTCCCAACTGCATGGCACAAGTTCCGGTTATCTGTGCTTGATTTATCCTATCCACCCTACCGGCGAACCAACTGTCGTACTGCATACGTTACTCATGGATTAGACAGTTCCAAACCCATTGGCCGTTTGACTACGCTTGTCATACGTTTCTTTCCCAGTGACGCTACTGTTCTTCAGATCCGATAACCAACAGGTCGAATGTAAACTTCCTCAGATCACACATTTGGCACCTCTTTTTCGCCAATTCCAGGGGAAGTCCGAACTCACGCCGCTCTCGTTTTTTATCAGTTCATGTCAACTGTAATTCACTTGTCAGGATCCCACTAGTGTGCCTCAAAATCGCCAATCATCACCATCATCTTCAGCTGTAAAAACCTCGTACATGTTGTACAATCGCTATAGCTGCCATGGTTTCGCCACCATCCTATCGTTCATTCAGTGCCTAGCTACCATGCCACCAGAAGGAAGCAGGAGGACGGGGGCGAGATGATTGGAAGTGGTTGGAGCGCAAATTTACTGACGGGAAGGTCCGTGGTTCGAACCCGACCTCTGCCTCTCGACTTCCCCTGTCTAGGCTTGGGCGACCTGGTAGTATCTCAGCCCTCGTGCTTCCTTCCTTCCAGCAGGAGGGCTGGGATACTGCCAGGTTGCCCAAGCCTAGCGGAAGTCGGGCTTGGGCGACCTGGTAGTATCTCAGCCCTCGTGCTTCCTTCCTTCCAGCAGGAGGGCTGGGATACTGCCAGGTTGCCCAAGCCTAGACGGAAGTCGGGAGGCAGAGGTCCGGTTCGAACCGCGGACCTTCCGGCCAGTGAATTCACGCCCTAAACACTGAGCCATCTCACTCAACCACCCTATATATTTCCGAAATTTGACCACCGTCGTAGCGTGACCCTTATTATCTTCCAGCTTCGACGGCATCCATCCCAAAGTCGCTGCCCTTAGCCTCCTTTATCAATCTCCTTTCCGTTCACTCTTCACATCCGGTGCTATTTCTTTATTCTGAAAACAGACCATTGTCCACCCCATGTATAAAAGGATATGTCAATACGACTCATCCGACTAGCATCCTATCGGCCCTTCCCAGGCTGGCGCAGAGAGCCCTCTGTAAGACTCTCCTCCCACCAAACAGCCTACTCCCTGCTTTTCATGGTTTCCGCCTATCGCACTGCCTTATAGCCAATCGACCTCGCGAACATGGCTGAATCAAATACACAGCATCCATTATATCATCAACTCTCCGAGGTCCCAAAGTTTTGAATAGCGTGACCGCTGGTTGTCAGCCTCCCCCACTTACCGGACTTCGCAAGTTCGAGTTGCTACTTCACTCCTTTTACCCCTTCTTTGTTCATGAATTTGATCAACTTCTTACACCTCTGTTGCCGCATGGGTGCTTAGCATTGTTGAATGCCGGTCATATCGGAATTTGGTGCATCAAGCCAGTCTTACAAAAAAGCCGTTAATGGCTGTTCAATTTGGGCTTCTGTCTTAGTTAACAAAGGTAATGCTGTATACATAGCGACCCTTCTGGACTAATTTAAATGGAAACAGGTTATATCCTAATCTGTGTAGCATTACGGCAACTAAAATCGTTCCATTCTCCCGGCGCTTTTCTTACCCAAGACGGCTGCCCCAGTTTAATTGCCCTCGCTATTCACATACCGGCACTTTTTTTAGCTGGCTCACGTATACTTTACGTGCCTTCCAGTACAGGTTCAACGGATTTCCCCGCCGTTCGTAATACCAATCTCCGTAGCCATAAGTTTAGTATTCCAGATTGGTCGCAGTTTTGTCTTGTCGGTTACAATCCCCTCTGAAACAGGTATCCTTGGTCGCTTGTCTATGCCACGAACACCCATACCCTAAAACAAACCTCGAATGGGCTGTTTCCCGAACCTTTCAACAAGAAAATGACCTCCAGTCGTTGCCGTAGGTCAAGTCTGTTTGGCTGCTCTTCTCAAACTCCACTCCAATATCTACATCCATTAGTCCATCGCCGCTCTTCAGTGCTTCCACACGTGTTATTTCTGTACCGGTATGCCATCAAAGTCCCGTAAACATATCTTGTATATCCTCGGTTAACACCTCTATTGTAGCCTGCCATAGTCCCATCGACCCGGAATGCATACACTTACACACACTTTTCTTGCATCTCAATTCTTCATAGTGTTTGTTCCCACTGTAACAGTCTTGAAAGTCGCAGTGTGACCGGTTTATTTGCCTCCCAGTACTGTTTCCCATGACACGACGTACCCGCCTACCCAACGTCATAGAAAGTTGGCTCATACTCTCTCACGTTTCCAGCGCCCATCCAATTCTAGACAGTTTTTTCTCTTATTCAGGTGCACTTCCATAATGTTCTCTCCGATATGTACCATAACACCGCTAATCTCGCTGCACCCGCTGCATCTAGTGGTGGGGACAATTGATCTACTTTCAGCTACGCATTCCGGAACGGCGAGCAATATCAAATACCTTGCAGTCCTAGTCTACGACTCTTCTACTTCCTAGTCGTGTGCACATCTGCCGAACTTACTAACTAGTTGGTTCACAAACTTCTTACCCCCGCGGACACAGACACCAGTTTACACGTGGACTAGCTCTTGTACTTGGAAATGATGGTAAGTCATAGTGCTTCCTCGGACTTTTCGAGGGCAATATCTAATGTATTTATTGTATCCTTCGAATACTCACTGCACAGCAGTCAGCTCAAGTCTAGCATTTGCATTGTGAATTCTTTTTTCGACAGACACTGAATATCACTGCGGAGATGATCCAACGTACGAGCACAAGCAGCCTGTATTCCTGCTGGCTTCAGGTTTTAACTATTGAAGATATCTTAGTCAACCGACTTTCGGGGTTATAAAATTGGTATAGAGGTTTAGGGCTGCTACCGAAGACGGACGCACAGAAGTTGCCTCTGAAGATAGTGCAAAGCGATCAATGCTGGGTCCTGTAGAGACAGGGAATACTCACAGTGAACTAGGTGAGATGCACTACTTGCAAGTGTAAAATTTTCACCCTGCATTGACTTCTGGAACACCGCGCTAAGTTCCAGCAGCGAACTACTGCCTGCTTCACCAACGGCGAACCAACCAAAAACTATTAAGTTATCTATGGTAGAAAGGCAGTTGGGGGGTATCTAATGGTCCTCCAGGCGTTTTCTTTCTAGAGGGTGCCAACTCACGAATCTTCCAACTCGGAGGCGGTGGGCTGCTCAGGGTACACCAGCACCTCCTTTCCAAACGAAGAACGATAGTAGAACTTCGTAAAGACTTTAGCAATCAGTAGCAAACACCCTTAATAAGCTACCAGTTGTCATAGAATTCCATTCGGACCGAGCCTTCAATGCCCGACGTAATGTTAAATGGGATTAACTATTGCTGGATCTAATATAGGAATGGTGCGCGCACGCCAAACTGTTAGGTACAATGCTCAGAATGTGGCTACAAACTCTTCTGCAGCCACCTGCCGGTTCTATCCGCGCTGGGATTCGTCAAATAAGCGTAGTCATCGAGGCTCCATCAACCTTGTCTTCTGCTTGAACACCAGATTTTACGCATAATTGACAAAACACTCGTTTGAAAACTAGTGTTTACGAGACAATTGCGTGAATTTCTCGTCTATGTTATCGTTTGTGAATAGTGTGCCAACTCGTATTTGAGGCGATCTTTGCGAAGCACATCAAGATGAAGAATAGTATCAACAAGAGGTTTATTTATCCCTCTTGGGCGTTTTGTTTGCAGCCGGCACCGGAATTCGTACTCAGCTAGTATACCTTCAGCTATCGGAACTGTATGGTGACTGGTGTTGATGAATTTCTGAATCCTTTGGTTATTGTCACTATGATTGGCAATATGAGATAAAACCTTCATTTTGCTTAACTCTGGACAAGTGGTTTGTCTGCCCCATGTGGAACATTTTGTTATCGGCACATCCGTTTGTTATACCCGATTTTCGCTTCTCCCTTTTAGTCTAGGGCACGCAGTAGCCAGTGTATGACTCATTCAGGGGCTATAAGTATACCAAGTGGGCGTGGCTCGCACTAAAGCTCTTCGATCTCCTACTATTCTTCATCTGAATGTTATGCACGATTTCTTTCATTCCCCACTTATCGTCCCATTTCTGACACAGCTCTAGTCTTCCAATGTTAGAATTAGACGATTATTCAGGTGCCCATTCCTCCACAATCGGGATACCATTGAATTTAATTAGATAACTGCAGGTACTGGGAACAACGGAAGCCTAACAAATCTCACGGTATTGTTGTGTTCGGTTGGTAACGAAAATACTAGTCGTTTAGATATAGAACCCTCCAGTGCCTAGTTGCCATGTCAAGCACGAGGGCAGAGTTCCTACCAGGTTGCCCAAGGCTAAACAGAAACAGTCAATACGCCGGGCTTGGGTTCGAGCCCCGGAACTTCCGTCAGTAAACCTGTGCCTTCGCTACTGGGCCATCTCGGTCGATTGTCCACCATAAGACAGAACTTTGTTTCCGACCTGAGTTGCAGTAATGGTGGCGAAGTGTTTGAACGATTTGCGGGACCGAAAACACACAAGGTGTTGTTAATATCAGTGATATGGAATTGGCACATGATCTGTCCTTCTTTGCAATCACGGAAACGTGCTCGCATATTGAAATCATCGATGAAACACTTCTCAATGTGTTTGTTGTGCGATGCAACCGCGGATCCCTTGGCGACAAGCTAACGCATTGCTATGCATCTCAATGTTTAATTCATAATCTCCGCTCTCCTGCCTTCAGTCACCCCCCAGCTCGCTCTTACCGATGCCTGTTTAACTATCGTCCTCCTGGCAAACTCCGTTTTGGACCGTGAACTTCCATTTCATCGGCGTGAAGGATTTTAATTCTCCGTTTTTATACTTGATTGCTCTCACGCTAGTGGTAGTTTTCAGTCAAAGTTGTTCTAGAGGGCTCTTTCACAACCATAACTCCAACCGGATATCGATCGAATGCTTCATTTCCCACATCCTGTTGGAACTGATCAATCCTGTTTATGGTTCCGTTATGTATAGTTTGTTTTTGCTCCGAAGCGGGACACGCCCCACTCTCGGGAGCATACCATCAATTGCCTCCATATCTCGGTAATGGCTAACGATTCCTCACCCATGATTTCTTCACCTCAAAATTTAACACAACATCACTCCTGTGATGTCATCACAGCGTCTTGCAGTACATTGAGCACTATACTATCTTTATGCTTTCTTCGGCGGATTCCACGTGATTCACCTTGCGCAGGACATGACACGTAGCCGGTCCCCGTAATGGGCTTGTTGTCACTCCGTAGCCGAGTTGCGTAGCTAACTCTGGTCTGCGGTGGTGCGTGCTATTTGTGTCGGATGAGGATGCTGTGCCCATCCCACTGAGCTGTCTATTTCGCCGGTTTCGGAAGGCGTTCTCTACCGTTTTGGCTAGGAATGTTTTTTTTACAGTGAATACCTCTTTTCATCCTTCTATTATTCTATGACGGTTGAGCACCAGTTTCCATTACTGGTGTATTGCTGTCCGTGGTGTCAGTAGTTCTGGTAATGATGATAATAAAGAGCACGAGAAACGAGAATGAGCTTACCGAACAGTTCATTAGATGGCAAATTACTTGTTCAACAACCCTCATTTGTTAGTTTCAGAAACTCTTGTCATGTTTTATTTAAATCTTGTCCTTTGACAACTATGGACTACACACGTGCAATTCGTGATTGTTTAGATTGGAAAAGATGTATTTCTGGTAGATAGGATGAACTGCTTTAACTGCGTGCGCTCAAGTTAGCTATGTCATCCGAAGATTCCAGCTGGAGGTTTACTCAATGTTCTCCTAGAAATTCCCACCTGCCGGTTGTTAATTCACTCTGTATCTGGCTCCTAGGACTACGTGGATGAAAACTCGACTAGTATCTATCACGATACGGTATCAATAGGTGGAGGCTCCGCGTTTCCCCAGATACAACCAACTTCCAGACCGAGAACCGAGTCGCTAGATATGAGTCCTGAATCATCACTGGTCGTCGATATTTCTGGTGCAATGAGCGACAAGGACAAAGTACTCTTCACTGTTCACACAAAGGTATGTTGCTTCATGTTTTCTTCCACGTCCTAAACGATATTCTCCATCGCATGATCCATAACTTGTCCTGTTGTTTTTAAGATTGTGCGACAAGTCAAGTGTATGATTTATACCATCACTTCTCTGAGTTTTATCCCAAGCAAATAATGAGATGGCTTCTGTAGTCTTTTGTTTGCTGTTTTATGAGTGAAAATTTTGACCATTTTGTGTGGCTGATGATTCATTTGGTTGATGACCCTTCCCCACCTATGTAGTTTGTACTGGAACAGATGCCGTGAGCATATCCCAGCCACCGCTTACCAGGTTTGTGTGTATTCCATATTGTTCAAGTCATAAATACCCACGCTATTTCCCCCCGTCTCTGATGTCTGCCTTCACGAAGGAAGCAAAACGCATCTGCCGAATCTGGACTGGTAAGCTATCCTTTAATTCAAGGTCAGATGGAAAATTGCACTTTTCCAGGGATTTACGATTTGTGCTCGTCCAACTCCAACACACAGTGCAACTAACGATAATCACTGGCTACTGCATTACAACAGTCCTCCCGAACAAAGGCCACTTACATGAAGCAGTTCAACTTATCTTGCTTGAGGGAGTGGCCTTTCTTGAAAGAGTCCCATTTACCGACGTCACGAGCAAGTGATAATACACGTGACTCAGTTTTCGATAACCAAGTCAAGACAAAACGGGTACTCTGTAGATCGAGCACTTCTTCGTAAACGCTACTTGTGCAACCCGGGGCAATCAGTACCAGGTAAATGAAAAGGCTGCTTAAGCTGAAACATCGTTGCTGATTTGGGTTCGGGTTAAATTTGATGGAATCCAATGATTGCTCTCAACGGGTATGTTTTCAGTATCTCAGAACCATAGCTCGTGTGGGTTTGTGTCGGCAAATCCATAGGAAAGCGCGTTTTCGGTTGTGCAACGGGTACTTCCATTGAAGAATGTGTCCAGCACTAGAAGCTGCGTTGGTTTGACATGTGTCGCGTCTGCCGAACTATCGTTTGCCAAAGAGAGTGCAGTTTTCCATGCCCAATTCAGAGTGGCGTAAACAGAGAGGTGGCCAACCCTTGACTTGGCAGAGGAGTATGAAGGAGATCAAGGAACGCTTGGGTGCTGTCGGTGCTACTCGCCTTCCAGGATGGGGACCGCGTGATCCTCACTGTGCCTGGTTGGTGACACTACAAGATATGGCTGCCAACCGATGTCGGTGGCGTTCTTGTTGTCAGTTTCTATCCAGATTGCCTAAGTGAATGTTTGGAGGTGTAGGCACCTCATAGTGATTGTGTTAAGCTATCACTAAGTCCCTTCCCCGTCCACCCTTACTCTTCTCCTTAAAACAAAGCTTTCAAATAAATGATGGTTGTACGGCATTGAAGCATCGATGTTGAACACTGATGTCATGTTGTCGATGATGCACAGCTTTGCAGCAATGCTAATCACAGTCCATATACCCTGGAATATACATTTGTGCACCAGTGACCTGACAATGTCATTTTGGCCCGTCCTAATGGCTATCTGGATACGTGCAACGTCCCAGAAAATAATGCTAGCCTTCGGGAACTTGGGGTACGCCAATCCATTTATATAGTTGTCTTCAGCACCCGTAAAACAACCGAGTGCGTTCATCTTGAGAGGTCTTTGTGGGTGAAAGGCTGTTGTATTTTAAATGGCCCGTCCTGAATGAAAAATACTCAGTCGCTGCAACTGAGCACATGAACCGATCACCCACAAATGGTTTTTTAAGTGATATCTTCCGGAAGGTGCTTAAATATCTGAACGCTGTCTCTGTAGAGAGTAAAAATGTATGCTAGCCAGTTGAAAAGTTGATGTGAGGCCTGTAAATATTTCGGAAGCACTATCCCGATATCCTCTCAGTGTTGGAATACACGAAAGCCTAGTGTGTGAATTTTGCATTCTGACTCTGTGAACCACTATGATACCTAGTATGGTCTTTGTTGGGAGTTGGACGCGTTCAGCTGTAACACCCTTTCGGTGCCGAACTGCCATGCCATCCGAAGGAATCACTAGGACTGGGATACTACCAGGTTGCCCAAGTTTGAACAGAAGTTGAGAGGCGGAGGTCGGGTTCGAATCATGGACCTTCCGGTCAGTAAATTTGCGCTCCTAACCACTGAGCCATCTCGGAGTTGGACACGTCACCTTAAAAAGGTTTAAATCTCATGGGATCGGAGTGAAGTATTTTTAGTGAAAGGGTTATCCCCTCTTTCGATGGAGCTTACTTGAAGGACTTTACTGTGTTCGACGGTCTGGTATAGATGACCGCGTAAGGCATTATTACTCATGGGATCGGAGTGAAGTATTTTTAGTGGAAGGGTTATCCCCTCTTTCGATGGAGCTTTATTGAAGGACTCTACTGTGTTCGACGGTCAGGTATAGATGGCCGCGTAAGGCATTATTACTCCGACAGACGAGTGGTATTTTAAAAAACGGGTGGATCGATATACGTAGGCCTGATATATAATAAAGGAATCTCAGTAGATCGCTGGCCACGCGTTTCAGTAAACGGGGTATCGTGAAAGATTTCCTAGTGTCTAATTACTTCACAGACATAGCTTTATAGCTGATGGCTTCAGAAGTTGATCTCTTCAGGCATCAGGTATCTTGCTTAGTTCCTACCATTACTTGGAGTCCTAGTGAATACCGCTTCCGCGTTCGATAATACCAATGGCTACTTTCTGCTTTGCGCCATTTTTATGGGATATTCGGCAAAGTGACATAATCATCTATAGTGGACTCGCACTGGTATATTCCAAGAATATAGGTGCATGTTGGCAACCTTTTGGAATATAGGTAGCTCGGGTGCACTGCTTGGTTGTTGGTCTGCCAAGCTCGGCGAACAGACCAACAACCAATAAGTGCATGTTTTGGGAATATTCGCACCCTATTCATGACGATCAGATTGTGAGTTGGGTTTGTCATGTGCTGCTTTGGTTACTAGTGCACAAAAACAATATGAACGAGAGATTCAGCTGGGCTACGGGCGAGTCCTGTCGTCGAAACCAAGTTGGTATGCAACTGGGTGTAGTTCACTAACGTTAGTCAACGTTTCGATCACTATGGATGAATGAATGAGTCGTTCAACTGTAGCACCCTTTCGGCACCTAACTGTCATGCCACCCGATGGAAGCACCAGGGCTTGGATACTGTCAAGTTGCCCAAGCCTAGACTGGGGAAGTCTAGAGGCAGAGGTCGGGTTCGAACCACGGACCTTCCAAGACAGTGAATTGGCGCTCTAACCACTGAGCGATCTCGCCCCCATCCATTACGGTGGATGGCCGTCGACAACCCAGTAATCGAGATCATAACAGAGACGAAGGAAGCAATGGCATTACTGGTGTCGGATAAAGATGTAAGATGTAAGAAAGTCACATGTGTAGGTTAAGCTGTGGGTCAGCTGCTCAGGCTATCACTTAAATGTTCATAAGCGCTAACCACACTGCAGATATGGACTGGCGATAGTTCCGATTGAGACTGGCTCCCCATATGACATGCGAAAGCTTCCGCGTGTGTGTTTGCATTGACAGGCCTGAACCCGGTCAAATAAGACGTGGTTCTGTCTATTAATGAATGTAGCATAATGGTTGAGTGTCTATCCAGTTTTTGGTATCTAGACTGATTTTAGGGTGGAGGATGTTTTTCCCATTTCGTAACGTGGATTTGCAGTTACTTGCTCGTCCCTGCTATGTGCACGAGGTCTGTACACGCAATCAGTTTGATCATCTGAATGTACCAAGTGTCTTCCAATGGTATTGTCAATTTTGAGCATGCTGCGTATGTTAGAGATTCTGGTGGAGTCGAACTAATTCGCATAGCTTTTTGTGTCCCTTAGGGATCTGAAAAACTGATAAGACGCTTCCGGTTTTTGAGTTCCGTCTTACCTGTGACTGATCGAGCGACTTCTCAACGAAAGATAATGGGTAGTTAGCTTTCTGTAGCGTCTTTTTGGTATTAACAGTCTCTGTAGGTTTCATCAAAACGTATCCTGTTAGTTCTATACGCCGGACAGTTTAAACTAACTCGTTCCGCGTTCAAGGAATCGCATACAGTCCAGAATGAGTCAGCTTATGATGCAAAGTTACATCAAGACCTGGTTCTTTGGCGATCACAGAACGGTTCAGAAGAAGTCAAATAACACAAGCTCACAAGTGAAGCTTACACCTTTGTATTGCAAGATTAGGAGATGTAACAAATCATCTGAAGTTTCTTGTCACCATCAACAAATGATGATGACAGTGGTGTTAGTGGTCTTTTGGGTTGACATTCCAGTTGTGTGGACGCCTGCAGGACCAAGTTTGACTTCTGGTAACCTGATGAAATGTTTCATTCACTCCCATTGTCTATGAAGGAGCTCGAGATAGCTAAGGCGCGAACTCACTGATCCGAAAGTCCGTGGTTCGAACTCAACCTCAGCATCTCGACTGTTCTTGTCTATGCCTGAGCAACCCGGCAGTATCTCAGCACTCGTGCTTCCTTCGGGTGTCATAGCATCTGAGTACCCAAAGGGCGCTCAACATTTATTATCATTGTCGTTATTGGATTATTCGTCATTATTCGATGAGCTGGTCCTCAGGTCCTGCCATCTGGGTCCTTACAAAGGAGCATTTCTTCCTGTCATATACTGGACACAAATAAACTCACCGAATAGAGATTTACAGGAGGAAGTGTTTAGAATTCAGTTCCTCTTAGTGTTTAAAGCCGTCGTTAATTTGCCCGAAAAATATAGCTTGGCGCAATGATCGTTCCACAGAAGTCCCGCTGGCAACAAAATTTCCCAACAGTGGACTGCTTAACTTGGTCTACAAACATTGTTCTTTTCGAAGTGCCTTATTTCTTCAATATTTCCTCGAAACTTTCTTGATTTCAATTACTTTCTATCCACATTGTATCGGAGTTGTGATGATCGACAATACTTGTGACTTTTTAGAGCTTCGCATAGCCTCCTATTTCTGTTTCATTGAACGAACGGTGGTATGAAC